TCGGATCTCTGGACTTGTGGCGTCGTTGAGTCTTGACCACATCTTGTGGCCTGTGCCACAGAAGCTTTCTTATTGTTCTAGACTACAGCAATTATCCTGACACGGAAAACACAAATGCCCTGTTGTTCTGATTCTATTGTTTTCGTTCTGCCATTGTTGGTCCCATTCGGCGCTCACAACCCTGGCGCACATATAAGAGCCCCCTTGGCACTGGTGCTTCGTTACACCGAACATTCACTATCCTTGCAAGCTACAAGCATTCTCTCGATATTTCTTTTGACTGCTCGATTCAAAACCAAGCACTATGAATCCTGTTGATCCTGCCAATGCTGGTCCTGAATTAGACTTCCAGGCCTGGCTACAACATCGATTCTTGAATTTAGAGCACCACCCCACCCGCTATGAGGCGTCCCTGTATGGTCCTCTCAATGGTGTTCTTACGCACTATTTCCCCCTCGATCGCCAATTCCTCGTTAAGCCCCAACCAAAGTTACGCCCGGCGTTCGACCCTAACGACGTCTCAATCTCATCTATTGGGGTGGAGACTTCTTTTGTTGAGGAGGATCCAGATGAAGATCTCGACGATCCGGTGCTACAGCTCTCTTTTGACTCTGATGGTGGCGATGTCCTTCCCAGAGCGATGGGCGGAGGGGAGGGCGGTGTTCCCGTCCCAGACTTTTTTGTCGCGAAGGCTACTCATTTCTTGACAAACGACCAGACCTTGTTGATAGTGGAAGTCAAACCTGGCGAAGACCCTGTCACAAGGACCGACAAAGAGCAACTCTTGGAGTACATGGAATTATATTCCCTGAATCATCAAGATATTCCCAGTACTATGGGGTTGTTGGTCCATGGTGTATTTGTCCGCATTTTTACCTGGTCGGGCCCCGATACTATCAACGAAGCCGATCATGTGCTGGGTATCAACAGCCGCGAGTTTAAGCAGATTTTGCAACGCATTGCGACTGACAATTGGGCCATATATCAGGCGCCTAACTAACCGTAATATTGGGAAGGTCAGACGAATACTTATAATTGCGCAGAAGCTGAGCTGACTATTCTATTTTTCGTTTTCATGTACAGTGGCAGTAGCTCAACACCCATTGTGGGGGGTGGAGATGAAGAAGTAACCCAGCCTGCAAAGATCGGATGTACATTATATGGAGTGACAATTGTAACATGTAAAAGCTGAGAATGTCATGATATATGGAACTGTCGTTTTGGACACGAGCATTGGACTTGATGCGCTCTTCACTCTGTAAGCGATGAGGACGCGCTGTGTATATCAAGACATTATGTATTTACTATGCTAGCACGATACCGGTACTGACACCAGTGAGGCGGACTCATGCTACCAGCAGCCTGAGCGCTACCCTTGAACCCGAGCTGTTTTTGGCAACGTCTCATGTGCTGTCTGGGAGGTCATAGGAATGCCGAAAATATTTTGTCGCAGAGTACTACTGACATCAGTACTATCAGTACTAGCTTCAAGTTGCCAATAATGGTCTGATATAACACGAGAAAACAGAAATGGGCCATTGCCAGGCAAGGCGGCTGTCATTGACCAAGGTGCATTGTTGATGTGACGAGAAGTAACAACGCGCCAGGAGTCTCTTCCACGGAGTCCGGACTCGTGCCTCGCGTGTCCCGGAAAGCATCAATGTGCATAGCTGCCCAGCCCAGCCGCCAAAGGATTGTGTCGGCGAGGCGGTTACTGAGGAAATGAAAGCATGGCAAAAATTCTTATAAGTATCTGAAGTGTATACCAATACCAATAAATGCATACAAAGCACCACACGTTGAACCCCGCTGACAGGCTAGAAGTACGATCCCGCTCCTGCGTAGCTGCCCCCACCGCCGCCACCACCACCCTCATCGTCGCTACTACTCTCATCACCCTTTCCACCACCACCTCCACTACTCCCAGACCAACGCAGCGCAGACCCCCCGCTTGCTTTGGCATCATCACTTTCCCGAGCACCGCGCCCTAGTTCAAACGCAGCCCGTGGCGGCGTCCATGGACGAACGCTCACTGCTAGGCGCCCAGCTGGTATTCGCGTCGCCAGCTCGGATTGCTTCAGCACCCCCTGGAACGTTATCTAGGGTTTGGTTGTATGTCAGGAGCTGGAAATGCGAATCTTGTCGCGGAATACAGTAATCCACCCACCGAATCATTGATCTTGCGATAATGCCTCAAGAATAGCCCCACGCTCTCCTTCTCATCCTGGATCATCGCTCTTTTCTCCCCCTTTCCCCCCTGCCCGACCCCTTCTTTATGATTCCCTCCGCTTATACCCATACCCGCGTTGCTACTTCGATCACTCTTTCCCCCTAGCTCCTCGAGTTCCCTCTGTGCCCATGCGAGGAAGCCCACCGCCTCCCCGCACCGACCTGCTTCACCTGCGTCAACACCTAGCCATTTCCGCCCCATCGCACCGTGGAACATCGCCTCTCGCTCCAAGTGGCGCCGCAGTCCAGGAGCTACTTCGCCCGCCGGTGCGTTGGGTTGCCCGTGTGGTTGTGGTGATGATGTTTTCCCTACTTTCAAGCTAGACTTCAGTTTCCCCAGTCCCAGTCCTCCACTATTGCTCCCCCCGCCACTGCTTGCACCCCGCTTCCCAACAGCTCCGACTAGGCCCCGTGCGGAGGAGTACAGCGCTGCACATTCGAGGTGCAGCTTCGCGATGAGCGCGGGGGAGGGATGCGATTTCGGGAGCGGTGGCCCTGGAGTGAGCGTTTCTTCCCAGCGCGCCTTGGATAGCAGCTTACGAATCGCAAGCGTTTGAGCGTCGGCAAGGAGAGTTCTGGCCAAAAGTGAGTAAGGAAAAGAAAACCATGGAAAACAAGCCTACTTGGCAAGCGCAGCAACTACTTCCCGACTCAGATCGACCGGTCTCTTATCTACACCTTCCCCCACTCCTCTCATGCTCTCCCCGAACCGCTTTTCCCACTCGGGCACGACCCCCTCCGCCAGCGCCTCCAGAACTCCCGCAGCGGTACACAGCCCAGCCACCGCACGCGTCAGTCCCGCGTCCCCCACCTTCCTGTCTTCCTCGCTCGCCGTACGTGCGCGCTCGTACGCCCCCAGTGCGCGGACCAGCACGCGTGTGTGGTTCGCCTGGGCGAGCGCGTAGGTCAGCAGTACGAAAGCGAGCTCGGAGTGGAGCGTTGGGAGGGAAAGGCGTGCGGGCGAAGCGGATATGGAGAGCGTGGGTGTAGCGGAGAGTGTGGGACGCCAGGAGAAGACTAAGTAGGCGTGCACGGGGGGAAGAACATGGAGAGGGGGGTTGGGTTAGCGCGTGAAATGTTGAACGGCGAGGCGGGCATACCGGGCATTGATTTAAAAGTTATCTCTCTATTGTCAACACTCATGATGATTCCGTATAAAAGGGGTAGATATTCCTCCAGTACCTATGTGTGAGCGCCATGTTCGACGATCCAGATGTTGTGGATGATAGTCAGCATGTAATATAATTCCGAGCAATTCAGTCAGTCTACCAGGAACACACCAGGACAATGACAAACCCAACCTTGACAGCACCTAACCAATCCTTTTCTCCCTTTCCTTTCCCTTTATCTCTCCCCTTCTCGCCATAATCTCCACCACCCCACTCTCCTTCATCATCGTATCCATAATCCCCACCAGAACCGCCGCCGCCGCCGTGTCGCAGCGCCTTCAGTACTCCACGCACGTCTACCCGCGCCTTTGTCGCCTCCGCGATCCACCGCGCACATGCGCGCCGTCGCGCCGCCTGCCCCGATTCCGACTCTCGCTCTGGTTCCGCGTCCTCGGATGCGGATTGGGACGCAGATGTTGTCGGTGCATCCTCTGCGCACTGGCAGAAATCGGCGAAGGAGATGGATCCAGTGGTGGGGAGGTCGTATGCGTACATCTTTGCTTGAAACGTTGTATTGCCCTACTGGTGATTATATCACCGTGCTGGTGTTGGACTGCTGATATCGCTTTGCTGGTGATGCTAGTGTTGCTTTATCAACTTTGTGATAATGAATGCCGATAATAACTATGTGTATTGAGATGGAAAGTCAACGATGATGGAGATGGTGAGGATGCCAGTGACAATGATTATGACAATGATGATCATGCAAGACACCGCTTGCCCCTGCACCTACAATGGATATGTGACTTGAAAATTGGAAGAACTCACGTTAAGAAGGAACCTTGAAGGCTCTCGCAGGATAAATCGGGGTTGTCTGCCAGAGGTATATCCGGTGTTGTATTTGACACTTGTGGGTGAGGTTGGGGTTGTGGGATGATGTGATAGCCAGTACTCGAACTATACTGCTTTATAGAGTGTGACTGGATCGTATGGCTGGAAGTTAGGTGGGTCAAGCGGGGGCCTGGCTGGGTTCGGTTTACGTCCACGATGTTGAATGCTTGGATAGATCGGACAACTTGTAAGCCGAAACGCCACGATGTGAGTAGATGAGCGCTGGCGGCGGAAAGCTTCAAGGTGTGATATGTAGATCCTAGATTCCGCGAGTCGAGGCTCTAGATTCAAATCTGCACGGGCACCAATCAAGAATCCAGTACAATAGCGCAAATAGTAAGTTGGATGACTTGAAAAGCGCTATGCGGGTGTATTCAGCTGCGTAACTTGTGGGTTGCCTTGAATGCGCCTCGAACTTAAAGTGTACAAAGTGGTTTGACTGAGACTACGTATAGCACTGGAGTAAGCTTGAGTTCTAACATGAGCGGTTAATCGTAAACCAGCCCAAATGTCGATAACCCATCTGATTCGAATTCTAGAAATAGCCTTTTGGCGTTTGGTTCAACAAACTAATGGGTGCGCCATACGGGTTTGTTTGGGTCTGTTCATGCAGACCAGGCAGAATTTTTGGCACCGTGTATCGATAATCCAGGATGGCCATTATGAGCTTATGGATGCATGAAAAAAATTCCAGGAACATACAAACGGTCAAGTTGGCAAAAGCAAGAGCCTTGGGAATGAAAATAACAGCTAAAATACATCGAAAAAAACTGATCTGAGCCAGTTTCGAACTGGCGACCTTCTGTGATCGGCTTACGTAAGCTGTTAGACAGATGCGATAACCAACTACGCCATCAGACCCATGCTTATTACAGTCCAAAATTAATACATATACTAAAGCTTCTGCTCTCCTACCACATCCTGTGTCGCTCCATGCCACAGCGATCACTCTCGTTGACCATCCAGCTTCAGGCAGGCTTCCACTCGCCAACAAGCTCCAAGTCATTGAGCTTCGTCCTAACCACAGGCGCCAAATGACAAGCTTCTTATCACCTTGGTGTTGGCTTGGAGGTTCTTAGCTGGAGTTACCCAAAACCAGCTCCGATCGCTTGGGCAGACTGGACATTATGACAGACTTTGTCGAACTAGCGAAACGTAACGAGTTCTCTTCCAAGTCGCCTAAGCCTGAGAGTCATGGTCATTCACGTCTTTGATCCACAGCCGGGACACGGTTTACATCGACTTCCTGAGTTATTGCAAGTGATGAAATATTTTCGGACAAGGAAACATCGAGGTCCACTACGGAATTGAGCCCGGTGGAAACTTGGATTTGTACTTGAAGCTAGACGATGATGATCAACAGCACTGGAGTATTGATAGCCTGGAAAGAATACACCTCCAAAAATGTTTCAAACGCAGCTACCTCACGCGCTGCATAACAGAAAAGAGGACTTCGTAGGAATGTGGAAGCGCTCCAGACGCCACAGCTCTTATTTTTCCGGGCAGTGCTTGCACGACCTCCGGCTCGTGAGCATTTTCCCCCAATAAAGCCAGCTCCGTGTCCAAGACCTCCGGATATCTGGAGAAACGAGCCAAGAAAGGTTACTTGTGAGTTTTACATCGCACTGATCCGATGGCGATAGACTTGGGAGACACACACCTCGACGTAAAGGGAGAAAACACCTCGTCTAGAATGTTATGCTTGGACAAACTAGAACGAATTGATTCTAACGAAAGGCTCTTCAGCTCATCAGCGCCGATCTATATTAAGACCTTCAGCCCGGATCAATGTATCATCGCTTGAAAGATAATCGCCCGACCTTGTCAGCAAGTCTATACATGGATTTCGGCGAACAGTAGATGCGATCAGGGTCATCAAGGGGTAACGGTCGATCTTTACTTGTGTCGGCAGGTGCCGATCTCAGGGGCCTGAAAAAGATCTCGGAAGTGTAACAGTGATATATCAGAGCTTTCAAGCTGGAATACGAAGCGTAAGTACTCATGTGCTATCCGATAGAGGATGAAGGGGTTGATAGTTACGTCTTCAAAGCGATACCGTTCATCTGGATAGTACGCACGCCGGCGGGCTGAGTCGCATGGTAGGCAGATGGGGGCTCCCTGAGTGTTGAGCTGGGACTCGGGTTGTTATGCGGCGGGCTCTCCACAATCATAGCATCCGCCCCGGAGTCACGTTCATCGTTGACCTCTGTTTCATCGTAATCGCTGTCGGACTCATATTTATCAATTGATATGTCGAATGGTGCATTATCTTGGGTGGGATTTTGATTTGGGCGCAGTGATAATATCATGATCTCATGTCAGTCTCTGCGTATTCTGGTGTATAAATACACTCACATTGAAGCAAGGCGGGCTGCGTCGTAGTAATAACTGTGCTGTGTGCGTAGATAGGCTCCATTGGACAAGAGCTCGCACAACCCGACCGCGCAAGGAATTTAGTATCAAAATAGAACGTCCCAGAAAATAAACCGCGATGAAGAACCGTTTGTATCGCCGGCGTCAGCGCAGGTTTAAGAGGAGGATACTTTTTCTTCATCATGCTGTGAACGTCGATGCCGGGGCTAAGGGTGACTTTGAACAAGATATATGGTCGAGCGATAATGTCCCTCGGGTACCATGAGTTTCGCTCGTTCTTGGATTTCGTTGGGATGGTCACCAACCGGCGCGCGTTCATTGCTTTCGCGTCCCCGTTGATATCTTCCAGCAGGGCGATAAAGAGAGAGACGGAGGTGCCATAGTACGCCTCAGTCCAATTTTCCTCGGTGAAACGGAAAAATATGTCAATTTCTGGGGAATTGCTGTCGTAGGCTATCCCGAACTTCCAGCCGAGACCGCAAGCATTCGTGAACACGCGAGCTTTGTTGACCTCGCACCCGACTGGGCGCCCGTCTTTATGGGATATACGAAACACAGTTGTCACAGAGTTGCGATCCCAGTACTCTTTGATTCTCTCCATACTCCAGGGGTTAGCGTTTCGGAG